ACAACAACAACAATCAGTGAAGGTGTCTCCTATCACCTATTTCTAATTTGTATTTCTCAGGCAAAGTTGTCCCAGACCATTTGTTTTAAGTTGAGTCTAATCCGTTGTAAGAAAAGCTGAGGTACTTTTAACCTACTTAATGAGTATATGGGGTCCTGGCGTGGTGCTGTGGGATGAAGCACTGGACCACAAGGCTGGTCTGAATCACAAGGTCTGTGGTTGAAACTTACCAGCCGCTCCTCGGAAACCCTGTACAGGGTTTCTGTGTCGGAACCGACTCGACAATACTTAACAAATTGAGCATACAGGAGTCCTGGTGTGGTGCTGTAGGATAAGCTCTGGAATAATTACTAGGTCAGTGGTTCAAACCCACCAGCCGCTCCTCAGAAACCCTATACAGGGTGAATATGAGTCTGAACCAACTCAATGGCACTAAGCAACAATTTGAGTATACAAAGATAAATAGGTCCTTTTCTTCAAATAGTCATGGTCTTTTAGTGTGGAAATACAGTTAAGTCAGTTCTGACTCAGTGACCCTCTATAGGGTTTCTGAGTAATGGCTGATGAGTTAGACACCTACCTTGTGATTCAAACCAACCTTGCAGTTGAGTGACTATCCTACAGCGCCACACCTGGACTCTGGAAACAGGTGTAAGGAGTAAGAAAAGTACACATAGTGCACTGAAATATCAAGTACTGTCAGTAATGAAGATGCATATCAAACACTTTGGGAATAGAGCTCACTGTGAGGAGTATGAACAGAAGAAAACACCCTGAGTGTCACCAAGATGTTGCTGCTGCTACCACCCATAGAATAACACGTGCCTCTACAGTCATTTTTGTTGTGAAACTGTCTATCTAGATAATGGAGTCAAAGAAAAGGGATGGATTTCTGTTCATTTCTACAATAACACTGCCTTTTTCATAAAAAAATTATACTAGAAACCAGGCCCCATGTTCTCTCTTTCACATAATGTGTTTATTAAAGACAAGCAGACACACCAGATAGCAAAGTCGGCCCTAATTATGCGTTCTTTTTATTTGTTGTTGAATGAAAAGCTTTAACTACAATGAAAAACGTTAACACTTAACAGTTTTTGGCTAAAGCCCTTTAGTGAGAGCTTTCAACTGTAATTTCAAGGTAACCAAGCCAACTCTGAATTATTATTAACCAGAACTATTATACATGTAGCATTATCATTCCAATCTGGGAGAAGCATACTGAAAACATGGGAAAGCTAACAAGATGTACTGAAAAGTAAACTAAGTAGCAGAACACAACCGTACAGGGATGATGCACTTTGTAAAAAGAGTAAATTAATCACTAAGATATAAAAACCTTGCAAAGTAAAAATACCTATCTCTAGCTCTCAGGTCTCTCATAGTAAATGTAATTTTCCCCTCTGTATCTAGTTACTGGTTTTTCTCCTGCAGAGAAACATCACCTGACTACTTGGGAGTTTATGCTTCTGTTAATACTTGCTCTGATACACGTTTCTTTGTACCCACATCCTCCAGGATTGAAAAGAAATAAGCTCTAAAGGAGTGTCATGAAGTCCCACCTTTTGACTGACTTTAAATATGATCTCAAGTGCATTATCTCAGAATTAAATGCTTTCATTTCTTGTAAAAAGTAAGATGAAAAATAAACCAGCTGAGAAGATAATTCAGGCTCAAAAACATACCATTCATTACCTACTTGGGCCTCAGTTATCCAGATAAAATGGCGATAGTAAAATAGGAAATAAGAAACTAAAACACATGCTAAATGTTGGTGAGACTAAGACTTTTAACTCCTGATTCTGGTTGAGCAGATGAATACCATCTGTATATGGAAGCTAGTTACCAGGAAATGCAGAGCTTTACTGAGTGAAGTCCTCAGCTTTTCACGAAAAGTCCAATGCTATGTCTAAATTCTCCAGATCAGTTGGTCTCTAGATGGTTTGGGAAGAATGTGAGAGAATTACTTTGATTCATATTTAGAGTTCAAAAACAGTTGGGAAATAAAAAGATGCTGAGAAATTACTGAGTCTAATCAGAGCAGACATAAGTAACCTGGTTAGAACTAGCTAAGCAAAATTATTTCTTAGGGCCAGATCAGAACAGTGTGGGTCTCTAATGAGCAAAATAAATGAAACACCATCAAACCAATGCATTGTTTGATTTTCCAAGTAGCATCACCTTAGAAAAATTAGCTAAAACACAAGTTTAAACTTAACCAGTTAGCAGTAACATTTCAAAATAATTCCATAACACAAACACAAATGTTTAACACCTAACATATCATTCAATGGCCACCAAAATGTAATTTCTTGTTTTAAATGGGTTACCAAAAATTGTACCTTATAATTCTGAGGTAAGTTTTATTTTATCATAACCAAAAGTCCAAACTCATTGCGGTCTGTCCACCTGGAATAGCTGGTGGGTTGCAACTATCAACTTTTCTATTAGCAGGGCATCACCAACCTTCCTGACTATACAACTCAAATGCTCAACTCTATTATCATCTTCCCACCTTAATAGGTCAACTTTTAGTCTGTAGTTTTTACATAGTCCCACCCAATACTTAAAACGTAGTTAACATGTTGTTCAGACTTTTCATATTGCTACATATCCTTTTTAACCTTCTTTGCTAGAACATAGTCATATTGTTATTTTTGATACATTTATGAGGACTTACAGTGTGACCTGGCCTACTCTCTCTCCCAGCTACCCACAAGAACAACAAAAAAGCAAATTAGAAAGACAAAGACAAGAAATAATCAGATTAGTACCTAAGAGGGACATCTTTATCATTTTAATCTTTATAATTTTAAAGTATGGGGATGCAGAAGTCAGTTTTTACACCCATTTTCCATGCTACAAAATTAACTGAGACTAATGCTAAAAATTTTCTAAAACCTTTCAAGAAGCTCCAGTGGATTTCTGGATTTGTTCCTTTAAAATCAGGATGCTCTGCCTTTGCTCAGGAGGTAGCATGGCAATCTGATCTGCAGTCAGCTGAAGAACCTGCATGATCAAAGCTGCTTTTTCTTGATCCTGTGGAGTTACTTGGCTCTGCCCAGGGCTAAAACTGCTAGGCTGGCCTCCACCTTGCTTGCCAGCCCCCTGCATGCCTCCTCCTTGTATTCCAGCCCCCTGCATGCCTCCTCCTTGCATTCCAGCCCCCTGCATGCCTCCTCCTTGCATTCCAGCCCCCTGCATGC